AAGCTGACGTGAGTCGTGTCAGAGAGCTTCAGGAGCAGCTGGAGCAGGAGATGACTGAGCTGAAGAGGAGAGATGCTGATCTGGAGCAGCTGTCACTCACAGAGGATCACAACCAGTTTCTGCACAGCTACCCCTCAGTGTCAGAACCCACGTCTGCACGCTGGTCCAGCATCAGGACCCGTCCTCGCTGGTACTTTGAGAACGTGACAGCAGCTGTGGAGGAGCTCAGAGACGTGCTGCAGGACGTCCTGAGAGACACGTGGACAAACGCCATGTATAATTTCCACTTCACAACTGTACACCACTTTGTGTTCTTTCACTGTAAATTCCAATGAAATGCATGTTTATATGTTTGTGGTTATAATGTGACAAAATATGGAAGAGGTCAAGGGTTGTGAATACTTTTGCAAGCCACTGTATTTAGTTTGATGTGGTAGTAGCTGAGAGTCATCTCACAAGTTCATAAAACATTTAAGAGTTGATGAAAACAGCTTAATAACGGCTGAATTATGAGCAATGTCTGTCAAGTCAGCCACTATCTTTGTGTTGTACATCTAGAAAATTCAGATAAATACAAGAGGTCTTTATTGTATTTATTTTCATTAAACATCTTTTTAAATAGGCTTCAACAAAACAAGGAAAACAAAATTATTTTAAATATATGAAGAAAAATTTTTGTTTACTTCTGACCCACAGTCCTAATTAAAAAGACAAACTGCACAGCTAAATGTATGTGAAAATCCATCACAGGTTTATTATTCCATTTACTAAAATATGTACAAAAAATATAAACAGTTTAAGTAAACTTTACAACTGGAGTTATTTTTTTAGGGTCAATGAACACAGAAAACATGTTTTTTTACATGACAAATACTATATCAGAACATAGAAGAAGCAGCAAAAATACTGAATAATGAGACTTCCAGTCTGTCAAACAGGAAGTCGGACCGTGTTCACGACTCTTATTGTGGCACTGACATCAGGTCAAACCCTACCTAAAAAAATTCCTTTAACACTTCAGCAACAGGCGTTTTCAGATTCTGCCTGATTATTATTTCACGACAGCTGACGAGGAGCAACTTTTACCTGCTAACCTGCCTTAATGTTGACCAAAACCATCTGATGGCAGAACAGAACAGATCCTGATTGAATGTGAGCTTATGCCTGAAAGCCACAATGTGAAGAAGTTAACATGGAAACTTGGCAGAATGATGGAAAATATGGTGGGAGCTCTGCATTAAATGAAATCTTTACAGGTTACAGTTCTTAGCTGCACCACTTTTTACTCCCTGAATGAGCGGCTTGAATCCCTCAGGAAGCAAAAGCACTAAGGCTCCTCCCCCCTCGCTGACTGCAGGCTTCATGTGTTACAGAGCTGGTACTGAGAGTTCCTCAGTGCATCTGGGTCACTGCATACCGAACCACTGTTCCTGATCGGCCCACTGAGCCGCCTCGCTGTCGCTGCCTTCCAGGTCTCCGTCCTCTCCGCTGCCCTCCATGTCGTCACCATCCAGCTCCACCGTGGCATCGGTGGGGCTCTCCTCCTTCTCCATCTTCTGCATCCCCTCTAAGGACTTCTGGTCATTAGGATCCAGGCTGAAGACAGGTTGAAACTTTAGTATCTGCAGGAGTTTTTCCTCCATAAACAACACCTTGAAGAATGAACTCGTAGATCAATCTCTGTTTACCTCAGTGCGATTCTGTACTGATCCATGGCCTCTTGGTAATCGTTGACGGCCACCAGGAAATCCCCCAGCATCCTGTGCAGGACGCAGTCACTTTGATTGGCCAGGGCGTTCCGCAGGAGAGCAATGCCCTCTTCGTGTTTCTGTTCACGACCTGGACAGAAGGCAGACTCCATGTTTGCAAAGCATTTTAACACCAAATCAGTAAACTGTTATTATGTGTCGACTTCTTTACTCTTTAAGTAAATTTAAAAGATTAGGGTTGGGCGATATTGGCAAAAAAAAAAAAAAGAATCACGATTAATTGTAGTATTTAGCCGATAACAATTAATAAGTAAGTAAGTAAGTAAGTAAAAGTTTATTTCTATAGCAACTTTCACAGACATAGAGGGTCACAAAGTGCTTTACAAAAGGTGCAAAATTATACAGAAAAATACAACATCAACAACATTATAAAACAATAGCTAAGAAACAGACAACACACTGGAAAAAGGAAAGTTTTAAGTTTGCTCTTAAAAGCAACCACAGAATCAAGTGCACGTATTGAGTGTGGAAGATCATTCCAGAGCATTGGAGCAACAGCCTGGAAGGAGCGATCACCTCTAGACTTAAAATGAGAGAAGGGGACCTTTAGAAGATTCTGATCTGATGACCTCAGCCCTTGAGAG